CATTATGGCTACCGTTGGATGTGGCAGACATTGTGCCAGAAGTACTCTCTCACTGTTAGAAGGGATGATGTCATGGCTTTGATGAGAGAGCTTGATCCTTCAGGAGATGGAGATTTGTAAGAAGAGTGTACAGCTCCAATGGACCAAACCATGTCTGGCGTGTCGATGGTTATGACAAGTTAAAACCATATGGTTTGGCAATTAGTGGCTGTATAGATGGCTACTCCCGCAAAGTACTGTGGTTGGGGTGTTGACCAACCAACAATGATCCTAGGGTCATTGCTCAAAACTATCTGCAATGTGTCTCAGAAAGTGGGATCGTACCAATGCGGCTTCGCATGGACTGTGGCACTGAAAACGGCACAATGGTGGCAATCCATTGTTCGTTAAGATCATCATACACTGATGGTTTTGCTGGAGCTGCCAGTCATACGTATGGATCCTCAACTGCAAACCAACGAATAGAAAGCTGGTGGTCTTACTTCAGGAAACAAAGGTTTGGCCCTCAACATTTATTTACATCTTTGCACCTGTACTGATCACTATATCTTAGAATTGTCATTGAATTTTATTTTCTATAGAATATAATTACTCAAATTAAGTACTAGTACCTGTGTTCTTAATTACAGTACTTTCAAAATATTTTTCCCTAACATTGAAGATTTTTTCATGTATTCATCTTATGTCAGCCATTACTCTTAATCTCTTTACTGTATATTCAGTGTGACAGAAAATAAATTTATTTCCAAACAGTCACACAAATTGCAAAATTTCAATGTACAATAAAATGTAATAAAATTTAGTATTACATTTTTAACTCTTAACACTTGTTAGAAGTAAATTATACAGGATGAACTTAACTTCCGCATCCCTGCATGCCAACAGATGAACCTCCATATACAATGACCAACCACAACATTAAAACCAGCTGCCTAATATAGTGTATGCTCTTTGTATGTTTTGACAGTTTTCCATTAGTCAGCATTGGTCTTTTTCAGCAATTTGTGCAGTAGTAGCTCTGGGAGCAGACTAAACTTTGCTTTGCAAGCCTATTAAGCAGGTGGTATTAATGTTGCAACCAGTGTGCCACTTGACTAAAAACAAATATTTTACCCCCAGGTTTGGTGGAAGTGAATGTGGGTTCCCAGTCTGTCAGGAGGAATTGGCTGAGTTTGCGGTTGAGCCAACTTGCAGTCCATGTGGAGACGACAATCTCCAGGAACACTTTGGGGAACTACAGAGACAGAGTGGCCTGATGCAGTCATTGACCTGGGAGTCATGTGTGGAAAACTAATATCAGATTGAAGACCATGGCTGATATGTAATTAAATGTGTCTGTATTAGCTATTTTTATTTTATCATTTCCTAAGTGTTCTTTCATACATGGCTGATTTAATGTATAATGTGTAATGACAGTTCACTGTGTTGCAGCATACTCTCTGCTCAGAGAAATATGCTGTTCTGCATATAGGCAGACTATGTCCTAACTGCATACTGTTTTTCTCTCTCACTGTGGTATCAAAATTCTATCACTGTAACTTTTGTGCATGTGCTTAATTCACTCAACTTTTGAACTGTTCCACTTCAGCCCCAAATACTGAACCTTAAAAGGTAAAGTCCCAGCAGCTGTTAGGCACTATAGCCTATTCTCATTTTCCTTTTTTCTGTAGAGGTACATGCAGAAGCTTGTGATTGGTTAATAGACTGGTTCTGCCTAGTAAGATACTGGTATAATTGACACTTCCTTGTGCATGTTCAACTCACATTGAGAAAGTTTAGAGCTGTGTGCAGTCTCCCAGCTGGTACATTGTAATAAAAGAATACAAAGACAACCTTCGATTTCTCTCACCTGTTTACTACAAAATAACTTTTCCAGAACAAGTCCAACTTGCCAAAAAAAGGTCACAACTGTCATTTTCAGAATCAAGATAGCAACGGCCTTAATAGATGAACATCAGATTTTGGGTTCTGAATTCTAAATTTAATATAGTCCAAAACCAGGAGAGTTTTGTATCCCAAAGTCCATATCTTTTTGAAACTGACGATTAGTCTTTTCTGCATGATATTTTAGAACAGATTTGCCGAGATGTCATGAATACAACTTTCTGTTCACCTGTACTAGTGCTAGGCTGTGGATCAGGAGGTGCAATGGGAGGGACAACAGGAGGGACTTTGTTTGGCAGATCATTTAAAAAACTGATGTTTCTGCCACACAGACAACAAAATGCAGGAGACGCTATCAGTGCAGATCCGCAGAATGGACAATACATCTGTGGTGGTGGGGAAGAAGAGGAGAGTTACTAAAATTGGAAAGGTCCAATATAAGGAGATTGTACAGTATATGAGAGAAAACTAAAGTTAACGTTGAAATTGCACACCTGATTTGCACAAAATCTGTTATATACTTTATATATATTGAAAATAAAAGTTATTTCACTGCACCTTTTTATCCATTTTATCTACGCTGCTTACCATACAGAAACACTAGTTAGCTAACGCTATTATCCCGAGTTACTAGGTTTAACGTGAGCTAATAAGAGTTAAACACAGTCTGTGGCACACTATCCTTAGCTAGGTACATTTGTTGCTCTTTTATAGTACCGTAAGAGATGACGGGCAATTATTTAAAAAGGAACTTAATGGAAAACGTACCGTTTCTGTAACCTTGAAAATGCCCCGTGGTCTTCTTCTTGTTCTTTTTCTTCTTATAATAACTTAAATTAGCTTAGCTAGTTCTTTTGCCGTAGTATTCTTCTTAATTTTCGCGGTAGTATTCACTACTTATTCTTCTTCTACTTCCTTAATGTTGGGATGAACCCATCATTGCGATCGGGCTCCCCCTATTTCCGTTTTCTCTCTTGCATGTGTTTTCAGTTAATGCAGCGTTTTCCTTTTGCATGTGTTTTCAGTTAATGCAGCGTTTTCCTTTTGCATGTGTTTTCAGTTAATGCAGCGTTTTCCTTTTGCATGTGTTTTTTGGTTTATGCAGCGTTTTCCTTTTGCATGTGTTTTGTTTAATGCCGCGTTTCTGTCTTGCATGTGTTTTTTTGATTAATGCAGCGTTTTCCGTTTGCATGTGTTTTGTTCAATACCGCGTTTGTGTCTTGCATGTGTTGTGTCTTTTGCATGTGTTGTGACCGTGTCGGCCACCGTAATTATCAGACCACAATGACTGAAATAAAGTCTGTGGTTAAGATAAGTTGGAGACAGTGAAATAAACCATGGACTTCATCTGTATTGTTGCTTAGAGGGTTTCTTCTTCTTTCTATACCTGAATAGCTGAAGATGAAGCCCAATTGTTATTCTGACATAAATGTCTAACTGGCTACTATAGTATTTGCTCATCAAACTTAACATCTCATGATGTAAGTAATGAAATACAGATAAATACAGATCCCATGAGGGTTTGACAGTGTGCCCTTGTCACAGTGCACCAAGACCAGAAAAGGATTTTTGTCCCACCAGGGAAGGAAATAATTTCTCTCTCTCACACACAAATATAAATATAACATCCCAATATGGAGATATTTACAGTTGAAGTCACACGTTTACATGCACCTAACCCTAGCCTTAAGTTTTCCACAGCTCCTGACATGTAATCCTATAAACATTCCTTGTCTTAGGTCAGTTAGGATCACTACTTTATTTTAAGAAGGTGAAATGTCAGAATATTGGTAGAGAATAAAGATATATTTCAGCTTTTATTTCTTTCACCACATTCCCAGTGGGTCAGAAGTTTACATTCACTCAGTTAGTATTTGGTAGCGTTGCCTTTAAATTGTTTAACTAGGCTCAAATGTTTTGAGATGCCGTCCACAAGCTTCTTACAATAAGCTGCTGGATTTTCAGCCCACTCCTCCTGACAGAACTGGTGGAACTGAGTCAGGTTTGTAGGCCTCCTTGCTCACACATGCTTTTTCAGTTCTTCTCACAAGTCTTCTATTGGACTGAGGTCAGGGCTTTGTGATGGCCACGGCTTGGAATTTCCCAAGCTGTTTAAAGGCACAGTCAACTGAGTGTTTGTAAACTTCTGACCCACTGGAACTGTGATATAGTGAATTACTTTCTATTAACAACTATTGGAGAAATGACTTGTGTCATGCATTGCAGAAATTTCCCCACTGTGGGATCAATAAAGTACCTACCTACCTAAAGTACGTGTCCTAACTGACTTGCCAAAAGTTTTTAACATGACAACATGAAGTGATAAAAAAAAAAAAAATCAGTTTTAATGACTTCGAACTAAGTGTATGTAAACTTCTGACTTCAACTATAAGTGCTGCCTCTTGGAATAGGCATAGGACTATAAAATAAAATAAAATAAAATAAAATATGACCACAGCAGTCCTAGTCTGAAGGATGCCACTTTTTGCCTGCATGATTGCATACACAGAAAGCGTAAGACAGTATTTCTCTAGTTCCTCTCCTTCCATTCAGACAGCGGGATCATTTGAGAGAACACTAAGGTTATTCAGGGAGTCTTTAAACCCTGGGGGAATATAAATACAGGTCTCCATCTCACGCAACTGTGTGAAATATGGGACAGACTCAAGCGAGTCTTTCTGAATTCCTTTCATTGTTACAAGCTGCTGCTGTAACGACAGTCTCTGTCTCTTGAAGACAAAAACAAAACAAAAAGGAAGAAAGGGGGAAAATCGTGTAACGTTATGCTCCTATAGTATATAAATTAATCTGCTGGTAGCTGCAGGTTAAGCTACTTGTAGTAACGACTACAAGGCAATTTACGAATAGGGTCATTTTCTTCTACTGAGATTTTCAGGTTAACAATAAACGTATAAAAAGACAGACATGTAGCTTAACCTCATCTTTACAAGCCACAGCAGCATCACTGACGATGATAGCTAAGCTAGCTAGAAGCTAACCGGCTAACAGGGGTAACAGCGCTTTGTGTAGGCGGACAGCACCTGTCACGATTAGCTCAGCAAAAACTGCGGTGAATTACATAATATGCCTCGCTTCGCTTGCAGCTAAAACACACAGTTCAATTATATGTTGGATATTTCAAATATCTGTGTCATTTTTCATTAACTAGTTGATAAATAAAACTCTACTCACCCCATTACCTTGCATTGGTTCCACATCCGCTAGTGCCCATTCTTCGTCTGTTGTATTTGCCGTAGCATTGACGATCAGCGGCGTTTTGCTGCCACCAGCAGGTCATGGGTGGAGGAGCCAGGTAAGGATGCACCAAAGGGAAGCTCTTTGCAGCTTCCAGTCTGATCCCAGGAAAATAGGTAGGTACATATTTATTTATCAGTCATTTTAAGTAAGACTTATCATAGTGATTTTACGCTAAAAATACCCCCTACTAAAAGCACAAAAAAAAAAAACAGCAAAACAACACAATGAATTAGAGAGTGGCTCCCAACATGTCTTATTTAGGAGGAATGAGAAAAAATGACACAAAAATGTGTGAAAAGATTATATCAAATTGACTTCTGTGTTGTTTTCTGACTATGCTAAATCATGTAAAGTATACAGTGTCAGTTGACAAACAAACAAAACAAACCACTGACCTGGGCCTTAAGTGCTCTGTTCCTTTAAAAAGTTGCATCTTATAATTTTTTCATCTAAAATATTACAAACATCAAGGACTGGTTATAAATCCTTTCTTTGAAGGACAGCACATAAGAATGACAATTATTTAAATGATCAGTGGTGGCCTTTTTGAGCTCAATGTTACATTAAATATTAAAGCCTACTCAGGTCAATAGTCTAATGCATTTTAAAGAGACTTTGTTGTACATACAATATTTCTGCACTGTGGCTGTGTTTCAGGGAATCTGTAAGGGCCTTGGCCAGTTACTAGAGGAATAAACACAATTAACCACAGAATGCAAACAACAACTAGGCACAATGCCACTGTAATCAACTAAATACTGGAAGTAAATAATATGCAGCAAATATTTTGAACTGACCATCTGCAGCTTGAGTCTCTCATTAAGGGTTAAAACAGAGTTATTTCAACATATCTTACAGTGACTTTCAGGATACAAAATGTGACTGGGATTAATATAATGAACATTACAGCATATACCAAAGCAATAGCTCTTAAAAGATAAACCATCTAACAGTTGTGCCTTACAAATATATGCATCTTTTTGGAACCCATGCAATAAATTATTAATTTAAATGTATTTTTGAATTTGTATTTGTGTTTTGAAAGATGTGACAAGTACACACATCAGAATCAGAAATAGAATCAGCTTTATTGGCCAGGTGTGTTGGACACACGAGGAATTTGACTCTGGTACATACTTTTTCAGTTCAAGGATCTGTCTACCTATCAGAGAAACTGAGGCTGAAAAGAATCATAGCATTATATCCTAAAATCTTTTGGCTCACTCTGTTGCTTTACAATAAACTGTGTAGATTTTTAAGGGAGTACAAAACAGACATCGCTTTTTATTTAGATCCCATTTGGCTAAGAAAGACACAGTGATTAACCATGCTTGCAGAGTTCACCGAGTGGTCCAAATCTTTGAATGTGTTTCTTTGAAAAGCAAGCACTAGTTTCTGATATGAGTGATAAGATCAATGCAATCTTGAGAATCACTAAAATAAAGAATGAGGCTGCAGTCCACACTGAGTAATGTTTGTGCGTTTGGCAGAAATCTTCGACACTGGTGTCCTAGCAATAACTGATGAAACATGACCTGTCATTTTGTTGCACTGAGTAACAATTTCCGTTATTCTTGTCAGAAGAATGTCAGCACCTATGAGCGTTATCTGTTGTGTTTAGACCTGCAACTGGCTGATTTGAAAGGTAAACACTATCAGAACTCATGCCACCTGGACAGGCAGTTTAGAGCCCACTGCAAAATCCCTTCTTTTCTCCAGTATATGTCTTTACAAGTTACATTTTTGACATGAAATTTGCAGCATTTGTAGTCTGTAAACCTGTATCTGACCACATGGAAGGACGAGAATATACTTAAACAATGAGAATACACTTAAGTGCTTGGCTGAGAAGATGACGATTCATCAACAATTGATTGACCCAACCCTTTTACTCAGAGCAAAAGGCAGAATACTAAGAATACTAGACCATCATCATGGTAGACATGATTGATTTGCAGGTCACAGAGGACAGAGGAGATATGAAATAGGATAAGTGGGATAAACAGTGAGTTAAATTCATTCAGCACCATGGAGAGAGACACAGAGACAATAACTGCATTAGAATGTTTCAGCACCATAGACAGCGCATATTGCAGGAGGTTGCCTTTGCTGCCCTCTACAGGCCAAATGTCATATTTTTAATTTTCAGTTTTTGATATTAAATCTAGCAAAAAGTTAATTTAAAATATTGCAATTTTAAATCTGACAACACCTTTCAAAGTCTTTTTTTTCTTTTTTAAAAGGAGCTAGTTTAGAGTGTAACAAACTTACAAAAGTTTTTAAAGAAAAGGTGTGAGATGTTTGAACATTGATCTTGTTTTTTGAAACTCAGAGCTGCAGACCTCACATATTTGAAGAATCAGAATATTTCCTTGTGAGACTGTACTGTACCAAAAAGTCTGAACATCAATTTTCTGGGAAATAAAAAGGACAGGTATACTCACTGAGCCATGTGTCCTCATGTATTTAATGTAAATGTTACTTCAAATCAAAGCCTGTAAAAGGAACAGTGATAGTTGATGAATCATATGTGTGTTTGAATGTGTGCAGTTACTGTCCTATAAATTGATGGCATGAAGAATAAGGTAAGGCAATGAATTAAAGAAAAGGAAGACAGACAAAAATAGAAAGAGAGTCTTAGAGATAAAGTGGAGAGTCAGTAAGCTGAGTGTCTAACGAGGCAAGAGCCAGAAGCCAGGGCAGAAGTGAGACAGAAGCAGATACTATGTCATTCATCCAGTTATCAGTTAAAGGTCAAACTAGTCATTAGAGCAGAGCAAGGCTATTGGAACTGACTCTGGATGGCACATCCACACACACTCTCACACTCTCTCAGATACTTGAGGTTAATGTGAATCACATGGTAGTTGCAGACAAAAGGAGCATGGCAGAACATTTCAATTGCCATTTAATTAAAGTTCAGGTGAAATATCAAGTGAAAGTTCTATATTGCTCTCTAACAACTCTTCTTTATTAACCATTTATTAACCGAAAAAAAAAAGAATAAAGATTTTTCCTATTTACAAGACAAAGAACAAGGACAATATAAGTGTAGTCTTCACCACTCTTATATTGTGGACTCTTAACAATTCTTGTTCACTCCACTCCTTGTCATTGTACATATTAATAGGTTTCTCATCGACACAACCATTTAAAAAAGAAATGACATGCCATTGAGAAAAGAAGAAAGGAAGGACAGAATAATTAATGCAATACCTACATAAGCAGATACAGCCCCCCCGCCAACACACACATACACACACACACACAAACAGAGGACTCAAGCTCACACAGCTGTTAGATGGTGTATTGATTTGTCCTGGGTCTCCAGACTGGTAATGACAGAAAGAAATCTTGACACAGGGAAGGGAGACAGTGAGACAGATTAAAGAGATGGAGACAAAGAGGTAAAGTTCAAAAGGGCAGTTTTGA